TGTACATTTGGGGATGAGCTGCTGAACTATTTTAGATTAAATACTTGCTATTTGCCAACTATCTTAATTGATTGCTGCCGAATCATTTGAAAACAATATAACACATTAGAATAGCCGGAAAGCTGTGTAGCACACAGACACTGTGTTAATTAGATGGTTCAGAGCACAGGCTACAGGTGTTGAAGACTGAGATACACTTCTCAACCTTATTTGGAGGCACAGTTTACTAAGAAATTTATATTAAATTTATAATTAACATGTAATTATAATTTTCAGTGTTAGATTCCTTTAAGTTATGTATTTTTTTTTGTACCAATACAGGTTTTTACAAAATACATACTGTTACCATTATAGAGGTATGTGTCATCGTACTTACAAATTCTTAGCATCTTGGGATTCAGTAAACAACTTTGATTTACAGAGGACTTTAAATTCATTTTTAGATTAACTTGGAAGGTAGTTGGCATTATGTTAAAATCCAGTAACACTAATTCATTTCATAAGGTTACAGCAAGTAGAAAATACTGTGATTGTTAATTGAATACACGGTGTGTACCTTTACAGAGGTAAGCTTTGCAGGATGTGTTTGGAAACCAGTGTTTACTGGTCTGCTGCTGTTGATCTGGGACTGAGCCATGCCCTTCGCATGTGTGACCTGTCATTTAATCATTAACACCAGTGACATCCTTCACCAGCTCGTCCTTAGGATGAAAATGTAGTCTTAGAAGTTGCCTGGATGCTTGGCTTCATTTCCAGCCACTGTACATATTCTTTGCGTACTTCCCACCCTCTCTGTTCCTCCAAATGCCCTGCACCCTGCTACCACAAGACACCTGCCCATCTCTCTCCACCCCCTGGGCCGTCCCTCAGATCTTTCGCCTGTGGTACTTGCCAGGGGAAGTCATCCTTGATGCCTCTGCAGCTATTGGGTCGGACCCTTTGCTCATGTCCTGAGTACTCTGCTCTTCTTTGTAGCGGCCATGGCTATGCTATGTATGATCTGCTTGTCTCGTTGTGACCCATTCACTTCATTGCACTGTAAGCCCCGCCAGTACGAGACCACTTAGTGTGTGTGTGTGTGTGTGTGTGTGTGTGTGTGTGTGTGTAGTTACTATTAGAAGTCAGCTTTCAAAAAAAGAAAAAGAAACATTTATTATTTTCTGGTTCTAAGTACTTTTTGTTATCAGAATGCAAGTGTCCTTATCTATTAAGCAATTAGGATGCACTGTAGTTTGTCAATAGTTTGGAAAGTAGCTGATGGGAGATGTCATTCTGTATATGTTTTCCATACTGGTTAATAAAAAAGCACTGTTGGCCAGTTACTACTTTCCTATCGGCTAGCTCTGTCTTAAGTATTAACCCATTTGTGTTAATCTATGTATTTCCATGTGGTCTTCTTACCTGGAGCCGGCTGCCGCATACAGCTCTCTCCAGACTCTCCATCTTTGCCCCTCCTTCCTACTTCCTCTTCCTCCTTGTCTCCTAGTCCCGCCTATCTTCCTTTCCTATTGGCCAACAGTGCTTTATTTATTAACCAGTATGAGAAACATATGCAGAATGACATCTCCCATCAGGGAGCTCTCTAAGACGGGTGTCTTACGTTCACGCGTGTGTTCCTCACTCTTAGAACCGAGTGCTGGGTAACAGCAACAGTAAAATCTTCCTTGAAGACAGAGTTCCTAACGCTGCGGATAATATCATCTATACCTTAAGATCCCAGAAAGACGTGCCATAATTTAAAACTTGAAATCTAGTCAGGGCAACAGCATTGCAGGCATAAGGGAAATGGCTTAACTTCAACGGAGCTGGGGTCAGGGTAATGCAGATGCCGGGGAGACAAGCCTTTGGTCTCACTTGCCATTGCCTTTAGCAAGCCAATGCTGTGCACACCTGCATAGCAAGGTAACAGTGTCACTGGTGTTTGCCCTAGAGGCCAAGGCAGCAGAACAGAGGGGTTAGAGAAGAACCGCCAAGGGGTGGTTCTTCCTCCAGCCTGGATGCACCAGAAACGGAAGGCACCCACCACTCTGAGGAGCACGAGATATCCTGCTCTCAGTAGAGCCTTTTAATGCCTCCCGTGGGACCTCATGAACTAAGCGCTGTAATGTGTCACGGTGATCTAAGGTTATTAATCCATGTCCGTTCCCCTGGTCGGTCGGTGACCTCCTGGGTTAGTAAAGGAAGGGCTAAACACTTTAAAGACAGTCAAGAAAAGAAAATGTGGTGTCTCTAATGCCTCCCCTAATGGAAGCATCTCCATGTCCTTTGGAAGTCTGAGTTCTGCTATACCTAGGGTCAGAGGACCTGGCTAGATGAGTGTGTTTCTTGCAGATGGGTCACAAACTTTAATCTTCCCAAGCATTTTAGTCCTATTTGCATGCCTGTTCATGTTAAAATTGTTGGAGGATTCTAGGAACTTCCAGATAATTTTGTGGGTAAAGTCAATGGGAAGAGTGGAGAGAAGGGCCCATCTGCACATCAATCTGAAGAAACAACAACTCTTCTTTTCCTTCCTGTGATCCCTTCAGGCCTCGTTTGCTTTGTGCACGGCATCGGGGATGAGTCAGGAGGGTGGGTAGATTTAAGTGCATCTGCATTGCTCCTGTCCCCCAACTGCGACAAATGTCCTCTGGAAAGATGTAAGAGTTCACCCTTCTGTGGACCTGACCTCTTAAATTGGCTGTTGACCTTGCTATCCCATTAAATTAATTTTCTAAACTAAAAGCATTTTCAAAATAAAAATCCTTTTGTTTCTATTAACTTACAGTGATTGAACCTGGCAATGTCTGGCACCACAGTTTTGAGATGTATATTTTAATACCTTTCATGAAGTTATTATAGTATTCTCTTTTGTCATTTGAACTTTAAATCAGAACCTGCGAGCAGCTCTGGGGCAATGCACTAGAGGGCGCTGGATTCCAGATCTCCTGAAGGAAGATGTCCTTTGTCTGGAGTTTGCATGTTTATAAAATGCATGGCAGGCAGAAGGTAGTGCTCCTGTGCTTCCCTGTTGCAGACAACCAGCTTGGTGTAGAAAATGCTAGCCGTGTCTAACTGTGTTTCACCTCCAAAGCACTAATCAGGAATGTTGTATTTGGAAGGCTGAGCACAAGCTTCATTGTTTCAGTTGCCTTCAGAGCCTACATAGAAGTCCCTTCTGTGTCTTCAGCAGCAGCTTGATGCTTATCTATTAAAAGCAAATGTAAGCCCTTCAAACAATACAAACTTATTGGACACCAATGAGCATTTATAGAAGGCCATCAGACTGAATAGTAATGCATATATCTTGTATTCAAAATTAAAATTTTGGGGGGATGGTTTGAACTGGGTGTTTTTGAATAGCTTTGAAGCCTGTCCTGGAACTCACTCTATAGACCAGGCTTGCTCAAACTCAGAGATCTGTCTTCTCTGCCTCAAAGTGAGCACCGCCACATCCTGACAAAACTTAAATCTTCTTCTTTTTTTTCTAAGATTTATTTGTTATGTATACAGTGTTTTGCCTGTGTGTATGCCTGCAGGCCAGAAGGGGATGCCAGATCTCATTATAGATGGTTGTGAGCTACCACATGGGTGCTAGGAATTGAACTCAGTACCTCTGGAAGGGCAGCCAGGGCTCTTAACCTCTGAGTCATCTCTCTGGTCTCTGTAACTGAAATCTTAGCCATACTAGTCTTGCATGAATATTGTGACATGATGGATGGTGATAGGAACATGCGTATAAAAAGTGCTGGCTTTGACATGGGTCCTTAAATGTCTGAGAAGCACAACTAACTCTTCTAGCCACCTATGTACATGTCCAGTTGCCTCTGTGACATACTATTGCTTCATAAATACTCATGTACCGCCCTTGGCTTCACAACTGTACCACTGCAGTGACTGTGTATGGCTCTGCTCTCCCTAACCCTGGGCTACTTACGTCATTCTCTCCCTCCCTGCCTCCCTCCCTCTCTCCCCCTCTCCCTTCTTTCCTTCCCTCCTTCCCGCCTTACTTCCTTTCTTTAAATTTTATCACTGGTATATATGTTCTTGGAAATGTTAATTTGTTTTGACCTTATGAAAAAGAGCCACCCACTTTATGTGATTTTTTTTGCCTTTTTAAAATTACTGTTTATTTCTGTCATTTGTGTATCTTGTTATATTCAACTGAGCTTCATTTATTATGACTTCTGTATGATATTTGCCTCTGTAATTATGACCTGGTCTTTAAAATCTGTTGCTGTCAATGGGCATTTGGATTGTCCTTGCTTTCACTATGACAAGTAGTGTTGTCGTGAACATTGCTATGTGTAGGAATACAAATGAAGTCATTTCTCCAGTAATAAAGGCCAATGAATCGTCTTTTCCTTTAACATGGCTATGAATAAGGATGGAGTTGTTCTCCATTTGAAAAGGACTTAAGCAAAATTTTGTGCATGAAGTTTCCAGATGGCCACTCCAGGTTAGTCGTTCCTTATTGACCAAGTTAGAGCCAGAGCTTGCATTTCCCTTTGCACATCTACTGCTTTTGCTTTCTCCTAGTACTTCTGTCGGAGCGTTGAGAAGGAATGATGTGTGGTATGCTGGGTAATCGTGTATACATCGATGTATGGTGCTGCTGGGTGAGATGAGGTCACCTGACCTAGCTCCTAGGACACTTCAGTTAAGGGTGGTTCTCGTTCTCATCCTCACACTCACCGTGTGTGTGCAGCCTCACTGAGACCTAGCCTTCTTGAGGATACCACCATCACTTCCTAGGAAACCTGTCCCTCTCAAGGAGCATAGAAGAGCATGGCTAGAAGGACCAGCAACTTCAGCCCTGTGAACAGCTGTCCCTCCAGCTAGCCTGACAAAGGTAAGGGCTTGCTGAGAACTCATCATCTTAGCACAAAAAAGAAAAGGAAAGGAAAGAAAAGAAGAAGTCTATTTCCTCCACTCACATTGATAAAGGGCACGTGCCAAGCCTTGAGAGCAACTTTCAGGCCAAGAAGTGGCAAGTTCAGAGGTCTCAGATGTAGTCTGGACAAGTTGGAATTTACTTGTTTATTTCCGTCATCAAGACTTAAAAATCTAAAATATAAAGCACCCTGGTCCTCTGGGTGGCAGGAAGGTTAAAGTGACGATAAGTTGGAATCGGAGTTGGGGGTTTTGTGTGGATTGTGCTTCTGCTGGGATACACATTTCTTCGACTCACATGTTCCGAGTGGAACATGACGTTCTTGTCTTGGCTTACAGGTATGCTGTGGGATCACTGGAGTCACAGTTTTCGATGTGCACATGCGACTGGATGCCAGGGTAAACTCTCTGCAAGGGCAGCACGGTGCCCAGTTTCTCCCCCCTCTTAATAGAGCCTCTGTACTTCATTGGCTTAATGTAGAACATTTTCACACAGAAACCTCAAAGGAAACAGAGACATATTTGGATGCCTGTAACTTTGAATCAGAAATTTAAAACACAGGGCTGGGGAGGTAAGTTAGTTGGTAAAGTGCTTGCCTTCTAGGCATGGGGACCTGGGTATTAAACCCATTAAAAAAGCTCAGAGTTGTGGCAAGTTCTTGTAATCTCTGTCCTGGGGAGGTGAAAACAGATGTGTATTCCTGATGTTGTGCTCCCTGATCAGCCAGCCTAGCCTGTAGGCCAAGCACACATACACCCTTATGCACAAACATTCACAATGTACACACAGACACACATTCACACACAGACATAGACAGACACACACACAGACACACACACAGACATAGAAACACAGACATACACAGAGACACACACACAGACACACACACACACAGACACACATACACACAGACACACACACAAAAACACACATACACACACAGAGACACACACACACTCTCTCACACACACACACACACACATGTGTCCCTGGTCTATATTCTTACCTCTTCCAGACAGGCGGACGCCGTTATTGATGGCATTTTTGTCCCTGTAGGGTTTCTCCTGGCCCACTATCATCCCAGTGAATGGCGCATACACAACTGATCCATCTGAGCACAGGACGTCCACACCTGGGTGACGCCTGTGGGTTCTAGAATATAAATGAGAGCCATGAGACGGAGGGAAGCTTAATACTGGGATTCCATTCTTTGTGCACAGCTCCTAGTGTTGGGCATCAGCATCAAAACTTGAAACAGCCAGAAGATACTGCAGTGCCTGGGATATTTACTCTGTTGAGTTTAATTTTAACCTCTCTGCCTATGAGTACTAATGGCCATATTGTAAAGAGTAAATAATTTCAAAACATATTTGCTTTACAGTAAGCCTTAAACATTATTATTACATGGTATTTTGGAAAAATGAGATGGGATATACAGATATATTTCATAGCCTTCTGTATCTTGACCCCTTCAAGGCCTTTTATTTTTCAGTGTTGGGAATCAAACCCAGGCCCTTGTGGGTACTAGGCAACTGCAGCACCATTGAGCTGCACACCCCACTCAAAAAACCCAGTTAAAAAGAGTTGTAGGGACCCTATTGTATAAATAGCATGTGTTTCCCAGGTCTTCCTTTTTTTTTTTTTCCCCACAGTAAAGGCACTTGTTAAATTTCCTGGGTGTGAGTACTGCTTTAACACAAGGGACTCCTAGACTTGTCAAACCACATGGAGCACAAACAGAATCATCCCACATAGCCAGGCATCGCGAGTTTGCCCCGCAGTCCTGGCTTCCCATTGCTTTCACTGCCAGAGTCCCTCCCAGACTTCCTCCCTTCTAGCGGGCACTAGTAAACAGTCAGATTCACAAGGATGGCGCCATCAGAATTGTGCATGAGGCAACAGCAGTCGGGGCGCACGGGAAGAGGCTAGAGTCCCTGTGTAAGTCAAACGCACAAACTTTTGAGTGTGCACTCAGTTTGAAGTCACCCTTTCTGTTTGCCGTCTCTCGGTCCTGCCTTGAGCATTTGACATGTCTTTGTCAGTAGCACCCTGTGGGAGCTCCTCTGTGGCTAGGGTGGAGGCCAGGGGTAGAGTTAGATGTATGGCTGCTTCGTCCACACTGTGCATGCTATTGGAACCTCAGGACAGTGACCCTCATCTAGAGGGATCAAGGGGTTCTTTCCTCCTTAAGGTCGGCCTCCAATGTTAAACTTCCAGAACATTGGTTAGTAACAGCATGGTGGACGCAAAAGGAATCTGAAAGGCTGAATTCAAGTGTAGCCTTCACCATCACCATCTCCAACTCACGGGATGAGCAGTTCAAACCCCTTATGTATAAAATGCAATAGAGTAGTTTGCCCTCCCCCCCCCCCCCCCACGCATTGGAAAGCCGGGTGTGGAGAATTTGAGATGGAAAACAGTTTGCTTCCTATTCCTTTTACTTGTTTCCTGCTCTGCCTCCAGTACAGACCCCATCCTTGAAGCAGAATCATATTATTGGGCTCTAGTGTGTCAGAGGCAGGTCCTTGCGAGCCCTCTAGGAAGCATAGGACAAAGACAATATGAAGACGGGAGAGGAACAAATAAGATGGCAAATATCTGTGACTCCTCATACCTTTGCGCAGAGTACTGTCCACAGCCATAGCTGTCACATGTCCGGATCTCGTTGGAAGATTTGCTGGCACAAATGTTAACCCATGGTCCTGCCAGGGCTGCAGAAGGAGAACCATGAGAGGCATCTCCAGCCTGTGTCTCCCTTGTTCATCTCCCCGGGACAGTAGGGTCTATTCCCCCATCCTTTTGGGAGTGTATAGGTAAGTTTTTCCACAGGACAGCTGATTCAGATGTAAAACTTAGCCTCCTTGCTATATAGTTCTGTTCTGTGACATATAAAATACTTATTTATAAGCACTGACTCCTCATAGAACTGTTGCAAATCATTCATGAATACATGGTATAAAGTGTGCTTTTCAATTTTCCTTTGCTTGTTACCAGATCTTCAAACCACTATGGTTAAACAGCATAGCTTAATAAACAACTTTAGGAACTGCACAATACTTTGAAATGCTGCTTATAATCAGATCTAAGAATGGCATCCAAGCAAATGCTTGACTCACAGGCAAGGCATACTGTAGACTTGCCAACTTAATGGGGTATGAACTAAATCTTGTATCTGCAGTGTTCCCTTTGAAGCAAAAATGAGAGCCTGCTAATTTGATGGTTGGTTTCATTTAAAGACATTTGACTCTTCACTAATATGAGGAAAAGCTACAGAATGTGGCCGCCCAGCTTATCCTTTTCTGTAACTTAAACTGGGAGTCTTAAAACCCTCCCACTGAAGATCCAAGCTTCAAATGAATCCTCGAGCAAGCTTTAACAGCATGGCTCTAAATCCAGGCTTTATCCTGGACAGCTGAGGTGTCTAGTGGACAGTTTATTATTAATCTGTTGGGGTTTTTTTTCCCGAATACCATGAGTATCAAAAGACCTTTCTTTTCATCCCAATCCAGGCTTGCATCAGGAATTTCCCATGTCCAATTCATCCAACCCTTATTTGAGATTTTTATCTTCTAGGGTTTTGGTTTTTTTTTTTCCTGGTGGGGGCGACCAGGGCAGGGGTGTTAATTGACTAAATTCCAGACCAGGCCAGCAAACATCTTTAATCCCAGCAGTTGGGAGGCAGAGCGAGTTCCAGGCCAGCCAAGGCTACACAGAGAAATGCTGTCTCAAAAACCAAATACATTAATTCCAGGCCAGGTTGGTGAGGCTTGACTGAAAGTCCTCTTACGCCTACATGTGTTTGTATTTCCCTCACTGAAGACTCAGAACATCAGGAAGAGATGGGAAGAAACCTCCACTGCCCTACCAGATTCACGCTTCTTACCTACTGAAACTTTAAATATTAATATCAAATTTCATGTTGCAATTTTGTTATCATTGACTTTTAAACCTATCTCTAACATCCAGGGTAAATCAGGTATATTTTTTCAATTAACCAGGATTCTGGCATTCAACTTACCAGTGGATATCAAAGCCGCTGAAACGAAGACTGTTGTGGAAAACATCTGGATTTGCTTCCTGCCTCTTCCTCTAAATTAGAATTGCTCCGTACACTCACTCTTCAAGTTTGAGTCAATGTTCTCGGGTAAGTTAGCTTTAGAATCCCGTGTTTCTCCTAGATTTAGTGTGAGTAACAAAATGAGGCAAGTTAAACTGTAGCATGCCAGGGAGGGAGGGAGGGAGGGAGGGAGGGAGGGAGGGAGGGAGGGAGGGCTGTCTTACTGCCCAGAGACCTCTGTAAAAGCCTTTGATCTGGAGAAACACCCAGTGTTGCTGAGAACCCTGACTACATATTAACAGGTATGACTACACTGGATGCATACTGCTGTCCATGTATGTGTGGGCAGTGGTAAAGTTGTTACTGGCTGACGGAGACCTTCCTTTCAATAATGCTGGCTTCAGCAGAGAAGTGACTAGTGATAATAGGGACCTCCCCTAACCTAATGTCAGCATGGTTTTTCTAAGCAGGGGTTCTCTGTGTAGCTTTGGATCCTGTCCTGGGAACTCGTTCTCTATACCAGGCTGGCATTGAACTCACAAAGATCTGCCTGCCTCTGCCTCCCAAGTACTGGTATGAAAGCATGGGCCACCAACACCTGGCAAGATTTTAGATGATTTTAACATTTTGATAAAATTATGTCTATTTCTTTTGAGCATGTGATTTTAAATGTTTGTGATAGTGGAAATTAATACCAAAAGCATCTGTCAGTAGGGAAGATATATTTGAATGATGATATCAGTCATTTAGTAGAGTATAAGAGCTTAAATGAAGACTATATATATTAATGTAGTTACATTCTAAATACAGTATTAAATAAAGAGCACTTCTAGAATTATGTATAGTGTAGTACATCATTTGTCTAAATTCCCTAAACAAAAGTGCTGCCTTTCATGAATACTGTATTCTAGTAACTGAAAATACATGGAACATGGACTTGGGGGGAAGAGCTGGAGGACGCATGCAGCACAGAGCGGGGAGAGCTGGGGGACACATCACGCAGCACAGAGGGGGTGGGGGAGAGAAAGAGATGGGGAACTTGGAGACTACTCTCTGAAATATTTTGTTTCTGAGGAAGTCAATAGCAATTATGCAAAGCATTAATTTGTTAATACTGAAGACATGATACAAAATTCTCTAATTCTGTCTGTTTATTGTTTTGTTTTTTGTTTTTGTTTTTGTTTTTTTTGCTGTTGTTTTGTTGTTTTGTTTTTCAAGATAGAGTTTCTTTGTATAGCTTTGGAGCCTGTTCTGGAACTCTCTGCTGGCCTGGAACTCACAGAGATCTGTTTGCCTCTGCCTCCTGAGTGCTAGGATCAAAGGCGTGCACCACTAACACCTGGCTTTATTTTATTTTGTACTTACATTTTCTGAATTGAGATTTTCATATACAAACTACCAGCTCCTCAATATCCTTATTAGACAAGGTCCTGGACTTTCTGTGATGTGTCCTCCTTTGCATCCCTAGCCAGCGGCTATGGGAAGCGGCCTTGTAACACTTTGCCATCTGCAGCCACACCCTGTGCTTCTCTGCCTGGTCAGAAGCAAATTCCACAGCCCTTGAATTTGGCTCGGGTATGTGGCATTGACCAAGTGACCGGAGGTGATAGTATGGCCTGCGGAGCCCCTGTCCCGAGGACAGATGGAAAAGTTCACGGACCGCAGCAATGACAGAGCGGCGCAGGTAAGGCTGCGTGTCACATGCCACTTCGCACGGCTCTTAGAAGACTGCCACAAAACCCCAGCCACTGGAGGAGCCATTCACTGATGCGTCGTCGTAGCAATAAAGCAAACAATATCCTGAGATAGATATAGATCTTGGCAAGCACTCCCAGTGCCCAGGAAATAGATGTGGTGGTGTAAGCCTTTAATTTCAGCACTCAGGGATAGAGACGGTAGTGTAAGAAGTTCAAGGTCACCCATTTCCCAGTATCTTAGCAATTCTTTTCTCAGTATAAAATGGGGCGTCTGCTTTTTAAAGCTTTTATTAGATTTGTTCTTGGACAATTCCAAGCTTGTACATGGTACGCTAACATTGCTGTCATCCCACATACTGAGAATTCTTACAAGAAACACTTTACAAACAAAACAACGGGAAAACAGACAGAAGGTATCAACAGATTTTCACAGCAGAACGAATACGAATCACCAATAAGCGGTGGGCATGCACTGCGTTTCCCCTACAAAGTGGGAGAAAATTCCGCCTGTCAGACAGGCAGTTCAAAGACATGGGAACACCTGAACATGTACTGAGGATAAAAGACAGTTTGGCCTTTTCAAAGGACAATTTCGCAACACCTCTCACATTTTCAAATGCCTGAGACCTTTGTCCCAGCAATTTTATTGCCTTTTCAGCCTGTGGCTCTTTCTTTGGATTTCCTGTCTCCCATATTAACCTTTTTCCAACCCATCTTTCTCTCTGAGACCGCAGCAACTCTCCAAACTGGAGAACAGATTCTGTCTTGACACTCACCCTTGATGAAACAGGGTCCAGGCAAGGTGTGAGTGAAGAGAAACCTGTCAGGGAATGTGACCGGGGCAGGGCGGGCTCATGATGTCTTCACGGAGTTGTTACCGCTGCAAGACAGTGGAGGAAAGAAGACATTGTATCACCTGACAGTTACCTGAAAACTCAGTGCTGCTGAAGGACTTAGCTCCACTACCAGCTTAGAGAAGCTGTAGGCCTGGCCAGACGTAAAAGCGTACTTAGCGCAGTGATACAGTCAGCCGAATGTCAACTGCAGGAAGCTGTCCCCATGAAAAAAAAGTATGACACCAAGCCGCAAAAGGCAGTGGGTGGGTGGATCAGAGAGTGAGCGGAGATGGGCGGGGATATTACCACTGCCGGCGTTGACACTTGGATCAGAGTGGGATTTATTCTTATGTAAAAGAATCCTTGGTGGATTTTACGGTCTCTTTTCAAAATACACAGGAAACATATCTGACTCTCAAAACAGAGGATGCGCCTGATCGACTGCAAAGTACCCATGGGTTTGAAGAGTGGGCATGTGTTTTAAACATGATGTCACAGACCTAGAGTTATTGAGGACAGTAGCGGTGTGTAGGATTTTACTACACTGCACTCTGCAGTTAGTTTATAGTGAGGTCCCCATTTGACCTGGTCAAACACCTCAGGCTTCCTGCTGGTCCCTCCTCCAGAGTTCACTTAGAAGAATCTGCCTAAGCTGTTAGACCATTGGCTTCTCACCAAGTGCATTCAGGAATCTAAAATAAGGTCGGAGCCTCTCTACTAAGTGTATCTATTGTAGTCACTGTCAGAGAGGAGGCCCTAGATGTGCATGCTTTGGGGACTGGGAACCTTGTAGTGATGAGTCGGTACCCTTTCTGTGAGAGCCACCTGCTCCCCCAGACACACACATCTGTATGTGATGGGAACAAGTAACAGTTGCGTGTTGAGGATGTCTGTGTGCAGCTGTTGGTGACCGGCGAGCTTTCTGTGTTTATTATTTCCCTTGCGGTGTCTATATTAAGCTATTAGCCAAGTCGACTTGTCTGTTGAGTGTCCTGATTTTCCCCTTGATATTTTAAAAAGTAGCTATGTTGGGGCTGGAGAGATGGTTCAGTGGTTAAGAGGTCTGGCTTCTTTTCCAGAGGTCCCGAGTTCAATTCCCAGCACCCACATAGTGGCTCACAACCATCTGTAATGAGATCTGGTGCCCTCTTCTGTCATGCAGGCACATGTGCAAATATGGCACTCATGCATATAAAACAAACAGGTAAGTGGCTATATTGAATGCTTTTATTATATAAAGCATTGCATCTTTATAGCAAAACTCATCCTCAAATTCAAGCCACTATAAAACAAACGTTTGGGGCACGTGTGTTTTCTCCCTTGGAATATCAGCATTTTAATGTCTTCAGCTTTAGAACACAGCGCTAAAAGCAAAATGCAAACAAAACAAACAGAAGGTGCTTTATGGGATATTAAATTGTAAAAGGGTTGAAGTGCCCGGAATGAGCTAGGAGCTTCCGTTTGGAAAAACTGACATGTGCCCATTTTGGTCTTACTCAGCTGTAGGAAGAATCAGGGAAAGTATGGAAACACGTGTTTTAAGTTGTATTTTGTAGAATTACATGAGACCATTTTCATGCAACTATGGAAAATGCTTTGGGCTTGTTTCCCACTGTGGACCACTACCCGCCCTTTCTCCCCTTCCCATCATTCCCCTTTGTTACCCTAGAGGGTTCTACTTCTATCTGTACATGTATGACCCACAGATGAGAAAACGAGATGTTGAGCTGACTTGATTGACAATACAATTGCCCTGTGGTTGTACCCATTTTCTTGCAGCTGACTTTATGATTACAATACAACCTGTGGTTGTACCCATTTTCTTTAAATGACATAACCTCCTTTTTCCTTGTAGCTGAAAAACGCCTTGCTTGTATGTATGAACCACCTTTTCCCTTTTTTGTAGTTTATTTTTGAGGCTTTATTCCAATTACATTTCTCCTTTCCCTTTCCTCTCTCCAAATTCTCCCATGTAACCCTCCCTATTGACCTTCAAATCTATGGCTTCTTTTGCAATCAACTGTTATTATATGTACAGATGTATTTGCATGTGCATATTCCCATACATGTTGTTTATGTATATGACAGGGATGACCACTTGGCACTGAGCAGCGCCTGGTGTGCTTTTTCCTTTGGGGGGGGGGACACCTCTTCTGCTCCCAGCTTTCCTCAGTCGCCCTTTGTGTAAGACTGGGGTCTCATGGCTTTTCCTGTCCACCCCAGCGTGTTTGTTGGTGCCCTTCTTGTCCAGTTCACATTTGGGCAGTCACGTTGGTGAGGTTTGTTTTTGTTTTGTCTTTCGAGACAGGGTTTCTCTGTCCTGGAACTAGCTCATGTAGACCAGGCTGGTCTCGAACTCACAGAGATCCGCCTGCCTCTGCCTCCCGAGTGCTGGGACTAACAGCGTACACCACCACCACCCAGCTGTTGGTGAGCTTTTTATGGCTGTAGCTTCTAACATTACTGGGAGACACAGCCTCACAGCCAAGCCCCTGGTGATCTGGTTCTAACAATATTTCCCCCTTTGCTTCCTCAGGCGTGTATTACAGGTGTACCCACAGGAGCTAAACTTCACAGCTCTGCAAGCCGAT